ACTGGTATTTTATTAGACCTTTCATGACGATAGGTTTTTAAAATTCCTTTTTTTTGCATCGCATAGACGTAAGAAGAACGCATATTGTCGAGGAGTTTTCTCCTCTCTTAAAATTTAACGCAGCAGGAGTCACTCCGTTAAAATTTCAGCTTTCCAGCTTTTCTGGTCCTTGAGTTGGCGATTTTCCTGCTAGAGATTTTCGCGTGCCCGTACATGAGAATCACGCACACCTTGGGGCTGAATTTGAAATATTTATGTTGTATGTGGATAGGGAACACCCCCCTCCCCCTTCTACCTTCCCCCTCTTTCTGGAGATGATCCATTCCCCCGATCACGCAACACTGATGGTACAACCGTGTCCTACGATGTAACAACAAGATATTCAAAGATATTCAACAAGATATTCTTTTTATTTTAACCTTCCCTTTTCATTTTTTTTTAGCACACTGCATGATACTTTCACTGCAACCGTGACACTGACAAAGTCCAGTTGCAGCACTGAACAGAAATGTATGCGACTTGGTGGACCGAAACATTCCCATTCAGATTTTAATCTTATTTTACTCACATTTTCCTTTTTTATTTCCTTACATCTTCCATAAACATATGTCAATTAAAATTAAAATTCAAAGATTCATTGGACAGAAGCGTAGCCGCCTAATGGATTCGTATCCCAAGCTTTAGTGGGCTGGAGTCTGTTGTTACAGAAAAGTTCTGTTATAGACTTTTTATCATTCTCAAATAATTTCACTGACGTAGCGCTGCTGCTAAAAGTGAATAAAGCTGTTGCTTGCTTCTCCGTACTTAAATTCTTCATCACTCAAGCATTTTCGATAAAAAAATACGAAAAAAGCAAAAAAAAAAAGCAAAAAAAGCGAAAAAAACCCCTAATTCTCCAGCTATTACATAACCACAAAAATTTAAACTACGTCTACTAAAATTAACTAGAATCATTCACACCGCCGAAATCGAAACTGAAAGATTTCCCATATTTTATACTGAAATGCACAAATACCCGGAGGCTAACGAAGTGCCAGCATTTGCAAATAATGTTAATTTTTGAGAAAAGCATAACAGGTAACG